GGGGTCCCAGCGGATGGAGCGGCTCCGGGGGCTGTTCACGATGCGCCAGAGTTTGGCGGGGAAGTTGTTGGGATTGACCGGGACGGAGAGGGGCGCCTCCTGCAGGTCGCCGTAATCGGCAGCTGCGATCGGAGACACCCAAGACAGGCGGCTTGCATTAACGCGCAATACGATTCGTTAACCAACACAACAGAAAGTAGTTCAGGTGGGTAGCTGCGTCAGCATGCGTAGGCTGCAAAGGAACAAGTAATGGGTTTATTCCATGCTGAAAAAAAAGCATGGAATAACACCTGAAGAAGGCTCCACGGCCGAAACGTTGTGTTCTCTTTCTTCTTTTTTTCAGCATGGAATAAACCTATTACTTGTTCCACTACAGAAAGTAACCTTTTCTCTCTCTTTTTTTTTCTCTCTCCATACAGCCAGCTGAAGTGTCATTTTTAAAGCTAGGATAGCGCGCCTAACAGCTCAAGATCTACACAGAGCAACAGCGTCGTGGGAATCAATACACACCGTGACGGTTTTGAACACTTGAGCGGCGCGATGCTACAAGATGTGATGTAGGCGTTACGAGAATTACCTGGGTGAACGGTTTTTCTCATGTTTATTTGTTTTATGGTTGTTCAGGCGGGGGATCGCTTTTCGGAACCGTTGGGGATTCCTCCCGGACCGTTGGCGCACGTTCGCCGGGAACGCGTTTTAAATTCCACACGGGCCGGGTTCCCTCGAGCCCGGGGGGCGGCGGCGGCGAGTCGCGTGTGCCGGTGGCTGAACGCCCGCGCGTCACGCCAGCGATAACAGTGATGATCGATCATATCTTCCTTCTCGTTGCCGCAATGAAACGCTGCTGTCTAACGCGACAGGGAAATGGATTGAAAGCACGAACCACCTCGTTTAAAAAAGAGAGGGTTAATGCTTTCACAATTTACTATGTATTTTTATTCACAGCCCTTTTTTAGGTCTTGTCTGGTACTGGGACTCAGATTTCAAAAGCTTAACGGGTCTCCAGGGAAAAGCTGTTGTTGGGTGGCGTTGGTGGCTCAGAAAGTGGAACTCCGTCCGTCTAGACCAGACCTTCAAAACCTGTGTAGCGACTGGAAATGGGGACTCCTACTGCAGTAGGAGGTGTCTTCCTTCCAATGGGATTGTTGAACCAGTGTCCGGACTGTTTGGTCATTCAAGGCTGCACGAGTTTGGGCCAACAAACATATCTAGTTTTCTTTGCTAACAGGTTTTCACTGTTGTACTGGTTACGTTCAGTACACTTCCCAGCACACAAACCTCTTATCAAACTCCATGTGAATACCCTAAATCCCGATAGCCCAGGTTTTTAGAAAGCAGTGTTGTTAGATTTTCACAGTGTATCTGCTTTCCTGCCTACTACTTACCAGACTTAAAAAAAAAGTTAATGAAAAGCGTGTAAATCTCTCGTAAGGCATCCAAATACTCACTCAAATGAGGAGTGAGGAGGTTTTGGTCAGAATTTTAACATCGATATAAACATTAATTTATAATACTTTTAAATATTGGGCAATTGAGTAAGTATTAATTATACATGTAGAACTGTCAATGGTCATTACCTATCAATAACAGACTTTCAGAGGATACAATAAGACTCTATAATTCTTTGATCAGTAAGAATTCCTTGGGGAAAATGTGACAGCTACGCTAAGCTGTGCTGCAGATGGAATTGATTGTCAGAAGATGGGGAAGACTATAATTAATATAATCAAGGTTTTCCTGTTTTAGGCATGATCTCGTATTTTGGACTGTCATCTACTGTGGGGGCACTCTAGACCAGACCGCCTCCTTTTACGTGTGAAAGTGTGCTGGGAACCGCGAGAGAGGGGGTCACGTTATATCATCCGACGCATCTTTATGACGTCGTTTGAAAGGGACGGAAGTGGCAAATTGCTGTAGCTTCTCGAGGTTAAAACGAGTGTTTTGTTCCAAGGTTTGGTTAAAATTGATTTCTGGAAGATTTAAGGCTCTTTAAAATGGCATTAGAGACGGTACCCAAGGACCTTCGACACTTGCGAGCTTGCCTTCTGTGTTCCCTTGTGAAGGTACGATGTGGTATTTGTAACAACATAATTTCTGTCGTAGCATCTCGATTTAAAAAACTATTTATTGTTTTTTTATATGTGTTGGATTCCCATTGTTTCTTACTTTTGCATATACGCTAAAAACTGCTTTAAGTTGTTTGTTCTGATTATCGTTTTGTAATTCCGTAATTTGTAGTTAAACGGTTGTAATGTAGTTCGTTTGTTTTAAAAATTAGGTTTGTATATTAGAAACAAACAGGTCAATCTAAACCTTTTAAAAGTGTCACACTGAGTCTAAATCAGTGTTTTTGTCTGGGCTGTTTAATAGTACCATGTCTATCTTGTAACTATGCGGTGGGTCCTCTGCTATTTGTATTTCTGCTTAGACCATTGATCAGTTCGAGTATGATGGCTGCGATAACTGTGAAGCCTACCTACAGATGAAGGGAAACAGAGAGATGGTTTATGACTGTACCAGCTCTTCATTTGACGGGTGAGTGTCGTCATTCTTCTGTACAGGTTCCTCACGGTTTAGGGACTGATTTGCAGTGTGGCCATTTCACCTACAGGGCAAGCAAACGTCCAAGCTGGGGGGAGAGATGCACTTCTGTGTTTGCTCTTCAGGAAAAACAGCAGTGAAAAGTGCAAAATCAGCAAAGTGTTCTGCAGGGTGTTCTAATGTACTGGGGTCTTGGTTTATGTTATTCGGAATGTTAGGCTTTACATTTCATGGCAATGAGTACCTTGGGCACTAGGGGGCACACATTGCAAATGCAAAATATTGTTTAAAGACAGCTACAGATCATGAGGATTTTGAATCTATATGCGTATATATACACCTTTTTAAAACCATGCACAATTCTCCATTTGTGCGGAGATGATATTTTGCATCTTTAAGTAAAGCATTATCAAATAGCCTAGAGGCTACCTACTTTGAGGTTCCTATAGAGGAGTGGCATCCACAAAAAGCACTGGTTAGTTTCTACCATGGTGCCATTGAGAGCATGTTGATGGGAGGTATTACAGTGTGGTTCGGCGTTGCTACCCAGAAGGACAAACGCAATGTAGGCCAGAGAGCATTAAGACTCGAAGGAACACGTTTCTGAACAGTTTCTTTCCAAGGACAGTGCGCCTGATTGCCAAGGACATACAGAACGGCATAACATATAGGAGGCCCATATCTACCCCAGCTCCGTAGGCATGATGTCTTTTATCATGTGTAACTTAGGAGCCATTCTTCTTATGTGAAGTTCTTGCACAATAGTGAGAACAGGTTGTGTATAGTCTTTTTACAGTTTGTGTATATAGTCTGTGTTTACTCTTTTGTTTTTATGTTTTCTGACTGAGAGAAACTGTGTAAGATTTCCTATGCACTCTTTGTGCAAATGGCAGTAAAGGTACTTGAACTTGAGACAGGCCTGTGAGTGGGTAAGTACTCGTACATGGGAATGTAGGCTTAGCAATTCCAAAATAAACAGCTGATGTTTGCTTCTGTCAGAAGCATAGTGATTATTTCCTTAGTTTTCTCTCTGTGACACAGAAGTTCTTTTAGGGTCAAATATCAAATGCTGCTTGTGCCCTTAATTCTTTTGCGAATCGAGAATGTGCCATTTCTGCTTTTCAGGGTCATAGCAATGATGAGTCCAGAAGACAGCTGGGTGGCAAAGTGGCAAAGAATAAGTAAGTGTGCTCTTTGTTGATCAATTTTGCATCTGCAGTGTGGTAAACGGCCTTATAAGGGACTGTGTAGAGTACTAGGTAGGGTTCTGGGCTCAGGTGGAAACAGGGTACATTGCTGTTGTTCTGTTGAGTAAAGTATTTTACCCCAGGTACTTCAGTACAGTCAGCTGTACAAATGGGAACCAGTATTGATGGGTGTAAGCCTGCAATGGATCAGCAACTATTACTGGAAAGAGGTCTATAATTTCATTCTAAGTACTTCTACAAAAGCGGGGATTATCTTGTGCCCAATGAGCCTCTGGTCTCGAGTAAGAAAATAATTACTTTTTTTCTACGTATTCAGCTTCTTGTTGTAGTAGATGAATTCGGCAATATAATAAAAGTAGCATGAAACATTTGCACTTATCCACTGACGAAATGTGTTTTGTTGCAGGTAACTTTAAGCCAGGTGTCTATGCAGTGACAGTGACAGGACGATTACCCCCAGGTATTCCTATTTGTGTGATTCATTTGGTTCCTATTTGCGCATTTGTGTTCTGGAGAGCAATTTGAAATGATGTATAAATGTACACAAGTAGCTGTCTGATCTGTGACAAAATACACTCTTCCTGAAACAAGCAAATTAACTCATAAAACATGAGCTTGTGATCTGTAGTGTAGACTCAACCAATGTTGATTGTCATGCATGCTGTATAATATTCTTAATATTCATTATTCTTAATGAAAACAAGCAGAAAAAATAGTGGCAATCTGCACTTAACCAAATGGACAGCAGTGAAGTTTTTTTCTTTCTCTGTTTGCTCAGTTGGTGAGTAGACTTTCATGTCAATGTCACATTCTATGACATCTTTTAGTTCTTGATAGGAAGACCCAGTATATTCCTCTCTGAATTGAATTGAAATAAATTCCATTTATAGATTGAAACATCACTTTTCAATGCAATTTGTAGACGACAATGAAGTTATTTAATAATTGAGAGATCCTAAATAAAGCTGTTTAATATTGTATTGATAAATCTATGAACCTTTTAGCACTTTCACTGAAGAGCAGGTTTTTTTTTAGTCCAATATATCTTGTATTAACAGACTATCATATTTATGAATGGACATCTTAAGATGTTAACATTACCTGTGCTCAGCTTTTGATAAACTTTTTTTCATTTTAGGCATTGTGAGAGAGTTGAAAAGCAGAGGAGTTATTTACAAATCCAGAGACACTGCTGTCAAGACATAACAAATGTTATTTTTATAAGTTACATGGATGGTTCAACTAAATACGAAATGTCATTTCATGTCAAAGCAGTAAACTATGGCTTTTCATTTCTTAAGGACTGTTGTTTTCATTCAGCTTGTGTATATACTATGTGATGGCAAATGCTAAGTGCAAATTATTTTTTTTTAAGTGGATCAAAGACTTAATAAGCAAAAGATGTGTGGTATTTGTAGCTTTATTTTGCGGTCAATGGACAAAGGATGAGAAGCATTCTATAAATTGGAATTCAATGAATGAACCAGTGTTCTGGCTCTAATGGATGTAGATTTTGTGTTAAGTCACCTAGTTTATTTTTCCTGTATTTTAATGAGCTCGGTATATTCAGCAGTCCTCTGTGTTGTGAAGGAATTTAAAAGTTTGCAAACAGAGTAACAAACACCAGGGTTGCGAATATAAACAGGAGTTTTTTTTTCTTATTGTTCCTCACACTCTCATGTATAATAAAGCATAACTCTTTTATGCCAGCTGTCTTTAATTTATTGTACACGTCTTTTGTTTTATACTGTGCACTCTTACCGTTTGCATTGACTTCCTATTACCATAAAGTGGCAGCAGAGAGCTGCTCAGATTGAAGTACTAATCGGGGGTTATTCATTAACCTGGCTGTTCAGACCTTTGTCATCTGACTCTTCTGATATTAGAAGCTTCTAATGACACAACGATCCATCTCCCCAAGAAATGTGGAAATTTCAAGGTTGGGTAGAGCATGTTGGACGGTGGCCAACTGACAAAATGATAAATAAAGCAGCCTAGGTGGCACAGGAGTTTATGTAGTTTTTTTAAGGCCAATTTGTTACCAGCTTATGTTGTCAAACATCCATTCATTTTCTAACCACTTCCAATTGAGGGCTGGGGGGAGACAGACTCAAATACAAACTTAGACCAGGGCCAATTTTACCAGAAACCAATTAACGTACCAGTATATCTTCGGACTGAGGAAAGCCACATGAATGCAGGGAGAACATACAAGCTCCGCACAGATAACATGCCCGGTCCAGAAATGAACCCTGTGCCCCAGTGCCCAGTGAGGCAGCAGTACTAACCCCTGCGCCACTATGCCCTCTGTTGTCAAACATCTCTAAAATCATTTGGTGAAACTTCCGAATAAGAGTGTCACAGCAAGGCAATGCTGTGCTAAATGCAAATGGTATTTATTTGATTGCCATACGTTAAACCTTCATCAACAGTGCCAGCAAAAGCAGTCTTAAGTTTCCTTTGGCTTAAGCCCAAGGCTGATACACGGGAATCTCTGTGGCATCCAGGCACTGGTTTCTCTGACCTTTGTAACACTAACATACACAAAACGATTAGTGCATTGAAACAACTTGATTGTAAATTCAATACTCAGTTTCCATGCAAGAAACACAAAACAGTATTGAAATGCAGCTTGAATTGTGGAAAAAAGTTACCCACCCCCCAAAAAAACACCTGTTGGTTCAATAGCAGCCATTCAGTAAAAGCAAAAATGGTCAAACAAGGGCGGTGTTTTTTTGTCTGCATAATTTGCTGTTGAATCAAGCCAGTATCTTCCCCTACTGGGAAAACACTTGTGACAAAAGTTCAGGCAGCTTTCGTTCTTCCTAGACTGGATAAAAGTGGAAGTCAACACCAGATGTTGGGCAGATGCGTTAGTGTTCTTAAGTGTATGTTTTCACATGACCAGCATCTCCTTGTACCTGTATGCTATATCGCCGTGGTTTTACCAGCAATTTCTGGGTCCTCATTGTCCTGCACAAAAGTGGAGCAGGTAACACTGCAGATGACACCTGGGGGATTACTGCAGCTTCAGCCCTGCTTTTCAACAGCCTTCAAGTTAGCTTTACTGAACTCCAAAAGCCTGCAGCTGTCAAACAAATGTGATACTAAAATGAAACTAGTGTCACCTCATTGTTGATAGAAAAGCAATTTCTTTCTCTTAAGTACAAAGTAGTTAAGAGCTCAGTTCACAAACCAATTTACTAAGAGGCTTTTGAACTTGTGTGGGTTCTGTGCTTTTTTTGCAGCACAAAGGGTCACTTTTCATTAATGTCTTTGGTGTCTACATAAATTAAAGGTTCATGCATGTTAGGGACCTCTTTACTGTTAACTTAAATGACAAGGAACAAATATTTCCCATTGCTACTGCACATGTGATTGATGGTCCCTAGGATATGTGGTTATGCTGGTTATTGTCGAGAAAACACAACTTCACGTTGCTGCAGCAAGAGACAGGACAACCAGGACCTGACGAGCTCCTTTTACAGGACGTGACTGGCCCCGTTTCTGACTGGCCTTGCCGTCTTTAATTCTGAGGGAGAGTGCAAGTCACTGAAGTATTGCCAGGAAATTGCATAAAGCAGGTGTCTTCATGCTGCAGTGGCTGTGTAGAAATACTGTACCGAGCCATGTGGCACTACAGGCAGCTGTTGCTGTGCTTGGGTCTATTTAGGTGGCAGTCTAACAAAGGGTGGCCTGATATAAACCAACAGAGATCCAAGGTAACGAACTGTTTTCTCACTTACAAGACACTAGAGCATCATCACATGATAGGCCCCTCAGCAAGTAAGGATAATGATCTAGAGAGAGGCTTGAGAGGAAGTCGAAGATGTAATTGTCACTGGTAATGTATTTTACTGAGATAAGTTCAGAGTGAGGCCTACAGCACGGACTGAAACAACAGCAACTACTATTTTTTAGCCTGCACTGAAGAAAATAAGTGAAAGATGTGTTCATTGATTTTATTTGGTGGGGGGGGCATTCTTACTAGTTGTAAAAACTGCTTATTGTGTATGTTTAATAGGACTTTTAATTAGGGGAGGCAAAAACACAAAAATGCTTTCTTATAATGGTTTGGCAAGATTTGTACCAGAGATAATACACTTTATGTTGGCTAATTTGTGTTTAAATGCTTGCTGAGCACAAATAATCACAAAATCATTTGAAATGCATGTAGTGCAAACTCCATAAGAAAAAATAAGTAGTTTATTTATGTATTGGGAATGATTATGAAAATACAAGACATCATGATATTTCCTACTCATCTTAAATGAAAGAAACATGACAATATAAATTTTTCAAGAATAAACAGTCACCAACCAATACAATCAATTGCTGTCACATTTCACAATAACCATGTGATTTCTGCCAAGTTTAGTGTCTTCCCCTAAGACTTAAATGAAATAATTCACATCAAAGCACAACTGCGTCTTATGAAATGCATGGCTGGTTTCTCTCTCTCTTTTTCTTGGCGGGGTTTGATGGCTTTCTGATAAGACGCATCACATGCTCGTGATGGAAACTTTCATTTCTATACCACAAACTGCTGAAAAATAAAGACCTGGGTTTTGCACGTTGCCTGTACCCAAATCCTCCCCCCCTTCCCCGTCGCCCAACCCCCCATCACACCTTCTCACAGTGTCGCGTACCCCAAGCAGCCTCCAAAACCAACGCAATGAAAATCTTAACATTTAAAAAAGCACTGGAAAGCCTTATTGTAACCTACAGATTATAAGAAAAAAGTTGCATAAGTTTACAGCATGGTTTTGCTGGAGTGATGTGGTTTAACGCCCTACCTTGTATGTATTGAAGTCCTGGGCTGTTAATGGGCTACAAGTGATTTCCTGACTCTCATCGTCTTGTGTCTGACAGAAAATGTACATGCGAGGTATTACTGTAAAGAAGACTAACAACGTATTTAGTTTAGAGGAACCCACATGCTGGTAATATCTGGATTACATTTTCTTGCATAGATCTGTAGAATCTGTATACAGATCTCTAGAGGTGTTTAACGTTTAGCTCTCAGATTTGCAGAATGTCGTGAGAATTTGTTTTTTCATTAACCAGGATCAATAGAAACTGAATTGGTTTCTTTGTTGCTGCAGCCTCTGTAGGTTTAATGAGGCTTTTGTAAATTGCTTTGAGTACATTACACAATCTTAGTCAGCTGTGTTGAACAGCTCCACTTTATCTAACTTTATCACAGTTTTAAAGATAAATTGTGAGTCAGCATATTATAGTCCATGTTAATGTCGCATTGCTTTTGGAATCCTTGTATCGATCTTTCAGAGCCAAGCAACAGTCCTTATGGGTAAACTACATTTTTGTTCTCATTGACTTCTCCAGGTTCATACCTAAACTACTTGAACCTTTTTTAGCTTTTCTCACCAGGGAGGAAGAGAGAGAAAGAAACCCAAGATTATGAAAAGTATTCCAGGGGAGCCCCCAGTGAGCAGACCCGACAGATTCATAGAATAAACTCAAAGTACAATTATTTAAATTGTTACTGGAAGCGATAAGGACATCTTTTTCTTAAAAAAAGGTTCTCTGGGTAATCGAATGAAGTGCTTCATGTAAATAATCAGCTTTTTAAGACCTTAAAAATAGGATATATGCCCAGGGGAGACAACGATTAGATCAGTTCAGCGGGGAGCTTATGATGGAATGGAAATCAGACCCTCTGGCCTTCTAGAAACTGAATTTGATGCCCCAGCTTTAAAAGGATTGACATTCATATAAAGCCAACCTTGATCTTTCCAGTATTTGTCTGGACCAGGTGCTGGAAACCAGGACACAGAATCTCATCACCTCTACAGAAATGAAATATCCAGAACTAGCCTGTCCTAAGGTGTCAAGAGCTAGTACTTCCTAATGACTTAATTCATGTACTGACATGACACCTAGAATTTGGAAAGTGGCAAGAGGGAGAGAGGGTAGGTTACTGGATCATTTCAGAACATTACGTGTTTTCATGGTTACACTAGTCCTTGCTTAATTTCCTTAATTTTCCAAGTCCTTACGTGGATAACATGTTTCAAAATACTTCAATTTGGCGAAACCACTGGGCATGACATTGCACTTCAGGAAATAAACTGTGAATGTCCTTTTTTTTCTAAACACTAGAGTTTAAATGTACCATTCCAATCATTAGCTGCAGGTCAGTTATTGATTGATAATGCACATCCCTTCTTATAAGTTATACAAGATTTCGACTTGCATTCACAGTTAGAGTATTGTACTGAATACTATTTGGGCTTCAGTCCCTTGCTTTGGGAATCAGTTCTACACTCTAGTGTAATTTGCTAGGGCAATCCCCCTTTACAAATAAGATATTAACATCCTGCCCACTCAAATTTAAAAAAATATGAGAATACAAATTCTTTTTATTGAAAACACACAAATATAGTCAACAGGTAAAAATTCTAGGCCTTATTTTCAATATCAGGATGTGTCACAGTTTCTAGAAGCCATAAGAAAACTATAGACTTGATGTTTTTCATGTACATACCCTGGTGTAAAAACAAATTGACATGGCCAATTTAAATAGGCAGGCATGTTTATTATCTTTTTTTTAACTCTATGCTTACACTCTTTTGTCATTTTGACACTTTTTAAAGTCAGACAAATATTGTAACAGTTTCAGTATCTTTCTGTAAAAGTCATGATACGTACAGGTAGCAAAAAAAGGTGAGAGTTTTGCATGAAAATA